AGGGACAGCAGGCCACACTGACCTGTGTTGCTCCTGGTCTCTGCTCTGGATCTGTTCCTGAAATCACCTGGACATGGAGAGGAGCAGGAGGGACTGAATCTTACATTACAGGAAACATCACTTCTTTCAGGACTAAAAATCTAACTGCTTTCACACAAAGACACATTTCAACTCTGATTTTCAACTCCTCTGCTGAACACCACAACACCGATGTCACCTGTAAAACCCGCTTCACTGGGGAAAAAATTACCGAGGGGGGTTCAACTTTAAAAGTAAACTGTGAGTATTTTTACTATATAACTTTGTATGCTGAATTCTTTTGAAAGCAGTGTGCTCTCTTAGTCAATTGGTCTTGCTGAAAGAGAAGTTTCATTATTGTGTAATTTGTATTTTTGTGTAACAGATGTGAAGGAAGTTAACATCACAGGGGGCACAAATGTGAAGGAGGGTGAAACTCTGAACCTGACCTGCAGTGTTGAAAGTTTTCCTCCATCTCTGATTATGTGGTCTAAACTTGGTTCTGATATAACCCTGCACAATGACACTGGATCAGCCACATTCTCCATAATTAATGCTACAACTGAACATTCTGGACAGTACGTCTGTACAGCAAAACATATGAACAATACCCTGCAGGAAAACATCGATATAACAGTGATGTGTAAGTAAATAACTTTGTGCTTTTAGACAGAGCTTTTTTTTTCACTCAGGCATCTGAAAATATGAGTTCAGAGAAATTAAACAACTGTAGTCAGACACTTAAATATGAAGCTGTCCCACATCTATGTATTAAACAGCCATTGGAACCCATTTCTTATATTTTAAAATAATAGGCACATTGTGCTTTGGATATAATGCTTAGCATTGCTGTCATGAGCTTCCAGCATCTATCTTAATGTCTTTCTTCATTGCTTATAACTTCCTGTCACAGACAGCAACACTGACATCTTGGTAATTGTGGATGGCTTTGTCTGTCCTAACACTTAACTGACCTTGCACATTAATAGAGTACAAATAATTAGTTAAACTTGCCATTATTTCTGAAGCCAACCAGCAAGGGCAACAACATTTATTATACAGTCGACAAACAGAGATTAGTCACCTAGCCCACCGTCTGTGTACCTACTTCCCAGATGTTTTGTTAACATGGAGCCAAATATCCCAATCAACTCGTTGTATGTGTCAGGGTTTCAGGTTTTCTTTTTATTTACCACCAGGCTGTTTTCTTCAGTGTTGGGCAAGTTACTTTGAAAAAGTAATTAATTATAGTTACTAGTTACTTCTTCAAAAAAGTAAC